GAAAACTGAGTGTATTCTAGAATGAAGACATTATAGAGCAATAGTTCTATAATCCTATTTGGGGAATCCTCTAAAGTGAATTTTCCAATAGATCTACTTGCCCCTTGTACTGTGTACCTCTGAAGAGCTCTCACATTCTTCTCTAAACACAAACTAAATGCTGTTATTCTTTTGAAATATCTCCCTTTTCTGCATCACTAAGGAATTCGGGAACAATGATCTCACAATAAGCCTACACATAACCTGGTGATACTGGCACAAATGATCCCCTTGATGTGGCTCTTCAGGGCTGGAAGTGTTGAAAGAGCTCTAAATGGCCCCTGAAAGCCACATTTTAGACCTTCCAGGGTCTACATTTAATGTGATCCCATTCATTTGTAGTAAGAGGTTTTTTTTTTTTTTCAAAAAAATCCTTGTTTTATGTAGATAAAGTCTATAAAAATATATTCGTTGTGACTTCCTAATGTTTCCATGAAATTCTTAGTTCTTCTGAGGTACTGTATCTGAGGGTGAACATGACTATTGTCTGAAGTGTATCTGAAAGCGTACCTGCTACAGCTGAGAAATGACCATGTTTCCTTTTAGTTTTCAGCAAGAGTAATTGAATGTAGAATATCTTACTAAACGCTGGACTGTGACAGTGTGTTAACACTCTGACTATCTCCTAACAGCAGGGCAATTATGTGCTGAGTGGGATTTTTATAAATCCCCTGACACTAGTATGTCCTGATAATTATGATGAAGTGCATTGGTCAGTGTTGATTCAGCAGTCCCTCCCTAGCAAATATTTCATTCGCACTTCTCTGTTCCACTTTCACTTTTCTAGTTATTAGAGATCTTTACTACTCTTCTGTACTGGCTTAGTGTCTTATTTTTAAAAGCATTTTTGATTATAACTTAGAAGCTAAACATATTTTAGATAGTCCTCTATTTAGAAATACTTATTTCTCATAGTACTCACAAATTTTGAATCAAGGGACAAGAATGTCGTTTTTAATTTTGTTCCTTTTTTGTGGCAATTTGATTTCAGTTTATTTTCAAAAATAGAACTCAAATTCATCTACTTACCTTGTAATAGTCATTATGGTAAAAGCAGTTACTTTGAATTCATGAGAAATTATTATTTCTCATATAAAAAACATGAAATTGAAATATTAGTAGTTGTGACGTGGGAATTATAGGTGCACACAACTTTGTTTTAAATTCTTAATATTTTACAGAAATGTGTGTTAAGAGTAAACCTCAATAATAAAGAGAAAAAGAAAAAAAAAAAAAAAAAGGGAGTAAAGCTTCCCCAGGCAATTGCAAAACAAAGGTCAGCATGTGAGTGGAAAATGACTTAAAAAAAAATTCTTCATGAAATAAAATAGTAGATACTCCAAATATAACAAGTTTATCCATTTATTTCCAAATCAACTGCATTTTAAAAGTACTTTTCTGTACTATACATAAGTATGAGAATACAGACTGAGAAGAAAAAAGCCAACTGATACATTGTTAGAAAAATGAAATGGTTCAAAATATTAATGTAATGCCAAGGGTGACTGGGTAACAAATGGTACATTTGCTCGTTTCTCAACGTGACATAATTAATATTCTAGGTCATGCTTAAGTTCCCATGATGGAGAGTATGAAGGGGAAAATTCAAGAAAAAAAAATATATCTATTATATAACTCATTGCCTTTCTTTTTCTTTTTGACCAGTCAGAATCATAGCCTTAAAAAAAAAAAAAAATCAGTGCTTTCACACTTCATTTGCGGTATTCACCACTGGGCCACCAGTCAGCAGCCAGGCCTGATGCAAGGAGGTCAGTAAGAAGCTATTAGCAGAGTCCTCTCCTGAGGTTTCTAGGGTCTTATTGAGTTGGATGTTAGCATGTCAGTACTGCAAATAACTCAGTTGTAGTTTTTCTTTCTTTCTTTTTTTTTTTTTTTTTTAAACAGTTAACACAGATTTCCCCATAGTCTTGGTCACTCTAGAAAATTATTGCTGAAAATGAAGTCCCAGAAAGCTAACCTGGCAGTAGTCCTTCTAAGTGGTGAAAAATATGAAAACTGGAAAATATGTCATCATCCCTCAGCAATAACTTTGTCTTTTGTGGCACATACTAATATTTAAAAAAATAACAACAAACCATTGTTCCTTACGTGTCTTACAAATCCTGACATATGGAAAATAAGACCATAGTAAGTTAGTATTCTCTTATTTACTTAAACAAGTAATCATTAAATGTATACTGCATCAATATAAATAAGTGGGATATCTTCTTGCAGTAGGGGTTGAGGGAGGGTTGGGCTATTTTCACTGATGTAAGTGATCAAATAAATTAATCTCTAAAATGCTGACACCTTGAAGATTGCAAATGGTAGATTTTAGATTCAATTAAAATATATTTTCTACCCATATTTGATTTAAATTGCAAAGAGAATACACATGAGGAGGTCTCTATATAGGTTGCAAAATATAATTTAAGAAAGCTATCATGTCTTCTGATCTATTTGCATTTCCCATCTAGCCTATGTATACATGTGCATGCAAATGTGAAAGAGATCAAAGAGGATTCCTAATGGGGTAAAGCTAATAGATGGTAGCAGTTATTCAGGTAGATAGATATTTTGAATGATAAATTATAATCTAGTAAAAGTGTGTGTATTTCTCCTTTTTAATCTGTAAGTTTGTAGAAATTTCAGTACTAAACCAGTAACTGTCAGTTTAATTAGATCATCACTAATCAGAATAGTATTGTCTTATCTCTTTCATAGACTATGTAAATATAGTTGTATTTGTGTCAGAATTGTGTTTTTAATGTAATATTTATTATTTTTTCTTATTACATTTGATACATGCTCTTAAAAACTATCGTCCACTTAAAAATTACTATCCACTGAAAGCTGTTGTGACTATACATATATTCTCTTAATAATATTCATTTATATTAGCTGTCTATATATCCAGCCTGTTCTATGTTTAGAGTTATAGTTGTTATAGTGAAAGAATATAAAAAACATTAAAAGTGTTTTTTACAACTGTCTTCAATAATTTTCAGAATAGTGTTTTTTTTTTCTTATGTCAAAGAGGTCAAAAAAAAAAAAAATCAAAGAAGAGCCAGTATTTTTATAAATATATAAAAGTGTTTATATTAACCTATAAAATATCTAATAAAATTTAGTTCTTAATTATACAGTACAAAAATTTGTCTTGGAGGTGGCCCAACTGAGTCTATAACAATTTAATTCTAGAAGATCACAATGTATTTGGAAGCAGACTGAAGCTTATGTGTTACGAAAAATGTAAAAAGGATATAATCTATAAAGTAATTTGAAAGCAATCAATAAGATTTTGTAATAAATCTAAACTTTTTACTAGGATATTTGTGTGAATTTTGAAGAATAGCATGAAGATTTTCATAAGCCTTCTGAACTGTGTGTTGTTATTCTAGATGAGCATTTTGCATTTATTTATTAATAGAGTGTATACTATGTGCGAGATACACTGCAAGGTTTTGAATGCAAAATACATAGGACATAGTTCCAGTGCATCACTTGCTTGCTTGGGTAAGAATGGCACACACAAAGATAGCTGTGAAACAATGTGGTAGGTGCTATGATAGACGTATCCCCAAGCTATTAAGGAATTATTAGAGATAAGAAACCAAATCAATCCTGGGTAGGTTATAAGATAGAGGTAACACTTAACCAAGTGTTTGGCAGCAAGTATAAAATTTTTAGAATAGTTTTCAAAGACAACTATCCTAGTTAATTTTAATACTTTAGAACTTCTAATTCCTTGTAAACAAAGCAACCAGGAATGTTTCTGTATATGATGGTGTCATAAGAAAAAAATCATGATTTTACGGAGAATAAATAGGTTTGCTGGGTACATTCTTTACATTAGTCCAGATTGTCTACAGAGCAACTAAACAAATCATCCTGTCATTTAAAATGTAACTTTGCCTTATGAATATGTATCTGTGTGTATGAATAAAATATCAAAATTCAGTTCTGAGCAGTGTATTATACAGTGGTATGAACACCACTGTATTTCAGAAAATGGACAACTGAAAACTTGAATTAACATTCATCATGTGTAAATGTACTGAATCTCTGTTAGTGTGACAGGTACTGTGCCATGTAAGTTTTGACACTATTTTAATGCAGTGTGTACCAAGGTCAATGACAGCACAGCAAGAGTAATGTGAGACTACAGATGTACAGCACCTAACCACATGACTACAACTCATTGAAGTTAGTACATTTTGAATAATACATATATTGTATACATATAAGGAGGTCTGGTGGTGTAGTGCCTAAGGTATTTGACTGCTAACTGGAAGGCTGATGGTTCAAACCCACCAGCCACTCCCTGGAAGGGAGGTTGAGTAAACTGCTTCCGTACTGATACAGCCTCAGAAACCTAAGGAGGGGTCACTGAGTCAGATCCGACTGGATGGCAGTGAGTTTGGTTTTGGCTATCGTATACATGATACTATTTTCATTAAAATTTTGAAATACAGAAGTAAAATCACTGCCATTAGGATGTGTAATGAATAATCATTCAAATAATCAATCAAGTATTTATTACGTACATATTTTGTACGACAACTGGTTATATATTTGATTTTGTGTGACAGTATGTGTGACATCAATATTGTTAAATATCCATAATATATGGCTAAAATACAAAACAGATGGATTAAGGTCTTTCTGTTATTTTTTTCCTTAAATACAATTATATAAAATATGCCACATGTGGCAGTAGCTCTTAACATGTATAAGTCTTCAACACTGAAAGATTTTGAAGTTGTTGGTCTGGAGCAGAGTCAAAGATTAAGAATTTGGTAAGATCTCCTTAATGAATATGAAGTCCTCCACTGGTTAAGAACCAGGTTTGTAGTTTAAAATAGTCCTTAAACATATTAAAAATGTCACAATCCAAGTTTATCTCACTTTTCTTTCAGATGAAAATTCAAGATGAAAATTAAAATTGCTTTCTTCTTTAGATTCCAGGTATATACAATTCACCATTTAGAAAAAAGCCTGACCCCTGGGAGCTGCGATTACAAAAGGCAAAGCCTTTAACCCACAAAGTACCCAAAGTTAAGCAGAAGAGTGCCATAAACCTTGACAGCTGGCTAGCTTGTACGAGCACTCGTTCTTTTCCTCGGTCTGAAATTCTGCCACCCATTAATAGGAAGCAATCTCAGGTACTAATTAGTCTTTATAAGAATTCTGGTATATTCTTACTATTTTTTTAAAAAAGAAAATTATTTTGTTTTGTCTCTGCAACAATAGCAAAAATATTTTTACAGAATCTAATTCTAGATAATGCAAGATATTTTTAAATATATACCAAGGAAGTATTCAAATGTCTGATTCGTATTGAATTTTATGGTATTGAATATGAAGTTAAAACATGAATTATTGGCTAGAATCTAGATTTTTAGTGTGAAAATAAAAATAGCAGTACTTGTTATATCCTGTTTTTGCTGGAAAAATCTTTATGTATTACCAAATTTATTTAATTTAACCTTTCATTTAATGATCCATGCTTTTTAAAAATCAATCACTATCAAGTCCATTTCTAACTCATGGTAACCTTATGTATGTCAGAGTAGACCTGTGCTTCATAGGGTTATCAATGGCTGATTTTCTGGCAGCAAATCGGCAAACCTTTCTTCTTAGGCACCTCTGTGTGAAGTTGAACCCCCAGCATTTGGGTCAGTAGCTGAGCACATTAACTGTTGGCATCGGGAACTTCATGTGCTTCCTTCCACCTGTCCAGTCATTAATCAACTTTGCAGTAAGACAACCTGCATTCTAAAACATAATATATTTTCTTACTTTACATAAATTATTTTGTGATATGTTTCCACTTTCTCTAACTGGGTCCTTTATTCCCTTTATTTATTTGTGTGTGTGTGTGTATATATATACACACACACACATATACATATATATATAATTTTATCTCACAAAACAACTAAATTTTATAGTCAGTGATATTAACTGAAGGTTTATACTATATTATAGAAGGAGCTACAAAAATTGAAAATATATAAAGTCACTATTTCTCCTCAACTAATTTCTCTATTTCCTCATTCCTGATTCATTTCCTAAAAAAAGCCAAAAAACAAAACAAAAAAAATCTATATCAATATTATTAATTACCTTTAGACTAATTTACCAAAATAAGACAAAGATAATTCTTCCTCTTTCTGTAAAGGAGGGGCAAGCTGCATATGGTTGAGCAAGGGGATCAGTGAAAGAGAGTATATAGTAGGGAAAATGCCAGTTCATTTTGGCTCATATTTTTATAATATGATTTCATTATTCATTTTAAAATATGGAGAAAGATGTCTAATAAATACATTTTGAAAACAAATATAAAATAATTTTGCATTGTGAATAATTCAGTTTTTACCATTTTATATTACGCACCAAACCAAAACCAAAGCTCACTGTCCTCGAGTCGGATCCAACTCATAGCGACCCCTCCTTGGCTTTCCAAAGCAGTATCACTATGGAAGTAGATTGCCCAACCTTCCTTCCGAGGACATTACTATTAATATTGGTACAAGTAATGGTTTTACATGACATTATCAGATGTGCAATTCAATTAAACAGTTATTGTATTTAAAAAATAGTAACTGTAGCAGCTCCACTGTATGTATATTGAGTGTGTAATGATTGGTAATGTTTTAGATATAACATTAAAAAAACCATTGCTGTCAAGTTGATTCCAACTCATAGTGACCCTATAAGAAAAAGCACAACTGTCCTGTAGGGTTGCCAAAAGTGTAATCTTCAAGGGAGTAGAATGTCTCATCTTTCTTCTGCAGAGCAGCAGTTGGGTTCTATTGCTGACCTTTTGGTTGGCAGTCAAGTGCTTAACCACTGTGTCACTAGTGCTCCTTAGATACAGCATATTTTAATAATTAATAATCTACATTTCATGCTATATTCATTAAGATAGCTATTGGTTCTATGCAGAATTCATAGAGTAATTTTGCATACAACTTCTTAGGAAATGTGAAAATCATATGGCATAAATAAGATACATAAAATACTTCTGAGCTGGAAACACCATGCAGGTTATCTGAACCAAGCTATCACAGTATATAATATTCAGAACCTTAACCATTAAAAAATATTTTATATGGGTTTTATAATATTGATATTTAGCATCAGGTTTACTGCTGCTATGCTTTTATTATGCGTTTATGATGTGGCTTTTCATTCTTCTTTGCACGCATTCTTCATCTTTGTTACTCCACTTTTCTCAGTATAAGCATTTTAATTTCTTCCATCCCTTGCATATATATATATGTATGTATACATATATGTATGTATGTGTGTATTTATGTATATATGTATTATTTAGTATATATGGAATGTAACATATAGACGATAGATATAGAAAATATATATAGATCAAGTATACATGTATGAAAAATATAAATGTAAATGATATATATTTATATATCCATATGGGAGACATATATTTACATAATATATGGAAAATATATATTTATATTTATATATAGAAGATAAAGATATTTGTATGTGTGTATATAGAGATATATGTTTATATATGGGATATACATAAGAATATGTAACATTTTATAAGGAGCTCTGGTAGCATAATCCTAAGGCATTTGACTGCTAACTAGAAGGCTGGTGGTTCAAACCCACCAGCCACTTGTCAGAAAGAAGGTTGGACAATCTACTTCTATAGTGATACCACCTCAGAAACCCAAGGAGGGGTCGCTATGAGTCGGGTTTGACTTGACAGTCAGACATCCAAGATTTTACATATGTGTGTTTGTGTGTGTATACATATATACTCACATATTACATTTATCTATCATACCACAAAATAATGATCCCTTCTAATATTTTTTTTTATTTTCCTTTCTTTCATCTCCTAGTCCTCTTCTCTTTGATTTTTTCTTTTCTTTTCCTTCTTTCCCTTATTCCTTTCTTTCTCACCCCATGGTCTACTCCTCTCTCTCCCCCCATATTCTTCCTTTCTTCCCTTTTTTCTCTTTTCTTCCTATTCTTCCTTCTCCCATCTTTTTTTTTTCCTCTATATTTTTCTCACTTTTCTTCCTTTACCCCTCTCTTTCTTCCTTCCTTCTGCCTTCCTTTTTATACTTTTTCGCCAGTGCTTCAAACTGGTTCATGGTTTAAACTGAACTTCATGGTTCAATCATGGCTGATGATGCAACTTGGGAGCGGACTTGAATTTGTAAAATGTAGGTGTACTGGAACAATAACTGGAATGGGAAAAAATATGACTTGACACCCTGCTACAAACTTAATCTCCTTAGAAAACAAGGGTAGTGTGTGTGTCACACAGCAACAAATATCTTGACCAGGCAGAAGTAGAAACAGTGGTGTCTGGCTCAAAGATAGTACTAACCATACTGCTTTCAATATGTGTTACTCTCCTCAGTCCTGGCAATAAACAATCTCCCACATTAGGATCTTGAAAGAGCTTGCTACGCCTCTTTTGAGTTGCCCAGTCCAGGACTTCAACATGCAATTTCTCCTGTTCTGTTTCTCATTCTGGTACACCCACATTTTACAAATCTGGGTCTGTTCTGATTTCTCTGTGTTGCAGTGATGGAACAAGTTTGAACCAATTCAAAGCCCTATTTTTCACAGAATGGGATTGTTATATGTCAGTATGTTTTCTTTTAATGGCATTCCTGTATGTTACTTAATAGTAGTAAAAGAACATACATCAAATCATTGGGGATGTTTGAGTTTAAGAGCACTATGGTTCAAACTATGATTTTATACTCTAACCAGTCAGTCTGTGAATTTCTTAAATGTATGAGGTAATTGCACCAAGTTAAAAACAAAATAACTTCATTTTTATTTAAAGTTTGGGGAAAGCTTTAAAAATACAAGATGACTATAAAGTAATGTGGGTTATTAAAAGTGTAGGAAAACATAAATATATTTGACTCTTTTAACTAGGGCTTGGGTGCAGGGAAGGAAAGCCAAACACTGGAAAACCATAGCAAAGTGATGAAGAAGGCTATAGGTTGAAACCTGCCAGCCACTCCTCAGAAGGAAGGTTGGGCAATGTACTTCTGTAGTGACATTCCCTCAGAAACCCAAGGAGAGGTTGCTATGAGTTGGATCCTACTCGATGGCAGTGGGTATAGATTCGTTAGGATGAATCCTGGTGATCTAGGCGTTCTATGGGTTAATATTTGGAAATAAGCTTACTAAGCAGATATGAAGTTATGTCTCAAATCTATGATTCCACGTCACTCCAGGTATGTTTGGGATAAGTGATGATCTGAAATCTAAAAGGCAGGCTAGCAATAGAAGTACACACAAATCAACAGGACCTTTGGCATAATAGAAGCTTGATAGCAGGTGTCAAGTTTGCTATCCTGGGAGGTGACCATTTAAATCAAAGGCAAGACACTAACTGTCTAAGTTATAAATGCATGGACCAGGCACTGAAAGACATAAGGAGAGGGATATAATTGTGGAAGAGTTTGGGTCACAAAAATTATAGTGAACCCAAAAGGAAGACAGCCTATTTTCATTCTAAACTGCTGTTTAAGCAGGCTTCTTTCTGGTTCATTTCCTGTATTACTGAAACTAGAAAGTTCTAGAACAAGAAGTAGAGTAAACCTGCAAATGGGGTATGTGTTATGTCACTATAGCAACAAATGTTACAAGGCACAGTTTGGCGACCAGGAAGACCTTTGCTCCATGTGAATGCTGGCACCTTCAAAGTCCTAGCCCTGGGACACCATTCACTTTCTTCTTTGATGTTATTATTGTTCCAAACCTTTTACAGTCTCATATTGAAAGTAATAATAATAATAAAAATAATAATAATGAAGTAATAGCTACCATTTTTAAGTGTTTATTATCTTCTAAGTACTATGTTACATTATTTTACGTATCTTGAGAGCAATTTTGTGAGTTAATTACTATTCTTATTTTACATATGAGAAAACAGGCTTAGAGATATAATTTGTCCCCAGTTACACAACTAAAGTTCAATATTTGAAATCATAGAATTTGTCGAAGTAAAAGAATAAGAATCTATTTTTAAATATCACTATTTGCTTTCTTAATATTTCTAATAGCAAATTTTAAATCATGTTACTGTATCTTTAAAAAGTAAAGTTCCAATAAAAATCCATTAACTACTTTCAAATATAGCAATCCTCCTGTCCAGCTGTGAAAAGTACTAGTGATACTTATTTGCCATTTGTGTTATTTACGGTCCATGACTTTTATGGTAACTGGTTCCTATTATTGGTTTCTATTAATGTAAAACATAAGTGAACATAAATGAGGCGTGAATCATTTCTTTTTATTAGCCCTACAGTCTTCACTCAGTGCTTGCAGTAACTCCAGCTGTGTCTTGTTAGTGATAACCTATTTAAAACAGAGATCTTTACGAATAAGGAATATGATTAGAAATCTTTGTCCATTTATAACACTCTTCTCCTAACACAAAAATAACAGTGAAAGAAAGAAAACAATACTTAATATAATGGCACAGTAAAATCTTAAGCAGCCTCTGATTTGTATTGTGCTATGATACTAATTATACAACTGGTGGATTCTAATAAGTAATATCAGTAACTAGTAACTTAAAAAGTAAGTTATAAGTTACAACACAGTACAACTATGGAATTTCTTCCGCTATATATTTGTATCGGTAAGTGGTTACTATTAATTTTAGAGTTATTAAACAATTGAGTTTAGAATTTTTGATAAAGACCATTTAAAATAATTAAAGATATGACCTTTCTAGATTTCTGGGACCACAAATTAAAACATAAGATTTAATATTCACCTAAAAGTTTTAATTTAAATTAAAAAAAAAAAAAACATGCTTTCCTATTTCTATTTATAGGAGAGGTTTTTAGAAGCCATGCTCAGAGTTTCCTTTTAATAGTCTTACTTACACAAAAAAAGATTTTTTCAATCATTGTATTAGAAGAAATCTGCTTCTCTAAATTAGAAAACAAGGCAGCTATTCTCTAAATTAGAAAACAAGGCAGCACATAGCTACAAGTTTCTCAGAGCATGAAAATCCTTTTAATGTAATTGGGAAAATTTTTGCTTGATTTAAAACATGTTTAATGTGATCAGTTTTACTTGAGAGATCCTTTCTTGAGGATATATTATATTCTGTCATATACTTCCTAACTTAGAGAAGAAATAATTGCTTTTTAAAAATTAATTTCATAAACTTGCTATATAACCACCATCCTTGGTCAGTAATATTGTTGTTATGTGCCATGGAGTTGGACCTGACTCATAGCAACCCCTCCTTGGGTTTCCAAGGCAGTATCACTATGGAAGTAGGTTGCCCCATCTTCCTTCCGAGGAATGGCTGGTGGGTTTGAACCGCCAGCCTTCTGGTTAGCAGTCAAGTGCCTTAGGCACTATGCTACCAGAGCTCCCAGTAATAGCATGCCAAAAATGCTCCATAATAAAGTATTTACCTTATTCTGTGTTTGTCAGGGGCCCTTTCGTGATATCACTGAAGTATTGCAGCAACGCTATAAGCCTTTGGAACGAACCTTGTGGATGGCAGAACCAATTGATGAGTTAAAGGAAGCCAGAGAGGCATTGAGAAGAGAGGAATGGGTACACAACATAAATGATAATATGTGAGTTCTTACCTACAAATGATATCTGTACAATGCTTGATAGTGTAAATTTACTAATCCTTTCTATTTCCTAGTGAAAAAAATCTTTTATTTGATCTATTCCAAAGCAACCATATGTTTTAGATTGATGATGAACTAAAACAATTATTATTCAACTGACAAAAATAAGAAAGAATGGATGGCATTTTAAAAGGGATAAGTGACCAGTACCCACACATTTGTAAAGATAATTTATTTGATGATCAAGTGAGAGCATAGATATTTATGATGCTTCTAAAATAAGATTCAAAAACACAAAAACAAAATCCATGTTTTCTTAACATGGATTCTATTTTATTTGAATAGATTGATATTGCATGATAAACCAAAAACCACGATAATTTTTATAAATCAGGAACAATGAAAGAGATTAGTTTCCTTATGACTGGAAGGATGATTGAAGAAGATGAAAAATGAACAAGTATCATATGCAACTTCAAATTATATTATTAACATTATTGATTTGGGACTCAATTCAAGTCTTTTCCCAAGGCACTCCTCTCTCTTAAGGCACTGTCATCAATAGAGTTGTATGTTGTATATAAATAGACCGTATAAAATCTGGAATAGCTTTATTATTATTATCCAGTGATGTACCTTATAATTACCTTTTTAATTTATCTTATAACAATATGGCATTCTTAACATGCTATATAATAATAAGACATAATTACTATTATAACATTATTTATTAAAATTGTAATAGTGATTTTAATATGATAACACAAACTATTATACATCATTGTCTCATAATAGTTAAAGACAATATATAAAACTACAATTATTATTTATTATTGTGTACATAATATCCAGTCATATTATGTTATATAATGGCTTACATAAATTCAATATTTATGTTACATATAAGGTATTAATAATATTAATTAGAAAATTATCAATTAACTATTAGTGATTAAAACACTCTTACAAAGTGTGTTTTGTTCCATATAAAAAATAGTACAATTACCCCTCATCTACTACAGTGAATTTTGGATCATTTTATCAGTTAGAAGGAATATATACTATGCTTTATTTTCTAGTTGGTTCTGACTCATAGCGACCCCTCCTTGGGTTTTGGAGGTAGTATCTCTACAGAAGTAGATTGCCCAGTCTTCCTTCTGAGGTGTGGTGGGTGGGTTTGAGTCACCAGCCTTCTGGTTAGCAGTCAGATGCCTTAGGCACTATGCCCCTGGAGCTCTTTGTATAGTACATAGTATATGAAAATAATCATACATTGCTAAAAAAATCTTGAAAATTTAAAATTTTCACATAAATTCAAATCAAAGATAAAATTGGTAACTATCTTCAGTAATTATTATAAAGATTTTTATAGCAATTCCTTGAAGTATAATCATTAACTATGCAGTGTTCAACAAATTCTTTTAATAATCAACTGAGTAAATTCAATATGAGATAAATAAGAAGATGGGAGCTCTGGTAGCATAGTGCCTAAGGCACTTGCCTGCTAACCAGAAGCCTGGCGGTTCAAACCCACCAGCCACTCCTCGGAAGGAAGGTTGGGCAATCCTACTTACGTAGTGATACCGCCTCGGAAACCCAAGGAGGGGTCAAGGTCGCTATGAGTCGAGGCCGACTCGACGGCACATAACAACAAGAAGAAGATAAACATTATTTTCCAATTAGTTTAGGACAGATAGATGCATTTTACTAAAGAGATTATTGAAGATTAATGCTACTGAGACTTAGTCAAACAAAACATGCATTTGAGTGATATCTAAGGACTTACATTACTCAGAATTATTTTCCTATTTTCAACATGCAGAGGTTTATGAAAAGTCAAGATAAATTTCTCAAAGAAATTGAGCATACTGATATTTCTACAGAAATCATTATACAGGAAAGATACTAAAGTATTCTTTCTTAGATTTTTCCTTGATAAGGCTTAAAAGATCAGATATCAATGGCATCCCCAAGAAAGATGCTCCTCTTCTGCTTTCTGTGGAACACTTGTAAATTTTTTCAGCCTCCAGGCTTCTGCTGAAGATCCATTGCCCTGAAGCTTTCAGACTGAAAAGTGCTCTTTGGATTGTCAACCAGTCAGGAACAAGTCAAGTTGGGAATGCTAAAGAAATAATTTGTATATTTAAAGCTATCATATGCTTTTTCAACTAAGCTAAGCAATTGGTTTTAGCAACTAATCTGAAGATAATTTCATTATTTAGAGAATTGAAACACTGATGTTTTGTAGTTTCTTCTGAAGCCATTTTGGTTTGAATATAATGGGTAATAAAATTGTATCATGCATTGCAAAAGAAATATTAGAAATATAGATTTTGTTATTCTTGTTGTTAGGTGCTGCCAAGTTGGCTTTGATTCATAGTAATGCTACATACAGGAGCAGGAAACACTGCCCGATCCCACATCATCAGAATCATTGCCATGCTTGAGACTATTGCTTCAGCCATCCATCTGTTGTCAATCCATCTTGTTGAGGGTCTTCCCCTTTTTTGCTGACCCTCTACTTTACCAAGCATAACTTTCCCCAGGCGCTGATCCCTTCTGAAAGCATGAAAACATGACTAAAGTATGAGAGATGAAGTATAGACATTCTAGCTTCTATGGAGTACCCTGGTTCTACTCCCTCCAAGACAGATCTGTGCATTTTTGTAACAGTTCATGATACATTCAATATTCTTCCCCAACACAATTCAAATGCAGCAAATCTTCTGTAGTCTTTCTTTTTCATTGTCCAGCTCTCACATGTATATGAAGCTATTGAAAATAGCATGGCTTGGATCAGACACACCTTAGTCTTCAAAGGGACATCTTTTCTCTTACACACTTTAACGAGGTCTTTTGCAGTAGATTTTCCCAGTGCAATATATCATTTGATTTTTTTGATTGCTGCTTCTATTGGCATTGAATGTGGATCCAAGTAAAATGAAATCCTTGACAACGTTTCTCTTTCCTCCATTCTTCATGACATTGCATATTGGTCCAGTTGTGAGGACTTTTGTTTCCTTTTTGATGAGGTGCAATCCAAAATGAAGGCTGTAGTCGCTGATCTAAATCAGTAAGTGTTTCAAGTCTTCTTTACTTTCAGCAACCAAGGATGTATCATCTGCATGTCTCAGGTTGTTACTGAGTCTTCCTCCAATCCTGATGCTGCATTCTTCACATAGTCCAGGTTCTTGGATTATTTGCTCAGCATACAGATTGAATAAGTATGGTGAAAGATCTGACCCTGATGTGCACTTTCCTGATTTTTAACCACACATTATCCCATGTTCTGTTGAATGACTGACATTTGGTCTATGTACAGGTTCTTCATGAGCACTATTAAGCATTCTGGAATTTCCATTCTTCTCAATGTTATCCATAATTTGTTAAGAAATACAGTTAAATGCCTTCGCATAGTCAATAAAACACAGGTAAACATCTATCTGGTATTCTTTGTTTTTAGCCAAGATCCATCTGACATCAGCAATGTTATACTTCATTCCACACCCTCTGAATTGGGCTAGACTTTGTGGAAGTTCCCTGTTGATATACTGCTGCAACCATTTTGTATTATTTTCAGCAAAACTTTACTTGTGTGTGATATTAATGATAAACCAAAACAAAACCCACTGTCATCGAGTTGATTCTGACTTATAGTGACCCCATTGAGTTTCTGGCGTAAATCTTTACAGAAGTAGATTGCCCTGTCTTCCTTCTGCACAGTGGTTGGTCGGTTTGAATCACCGGCCTTCTGGTTAGCAGCCTAATGCCTTAGGCACCACACTACCAGAGCTCCTTGATTTTAGTGGTATTGTTCAATAATTTCCTTATTCTTTTGGATCACTTTTCTGTGGAATGGGCACAAATATGGATCTCTTCCAGTCAGTTAGCCAGATATCTATCTTCCAAATTTTTTTTGCCAATCCCTTCTGTAGAGCTTGGACTTCTTCCTTTAATATCATCAGTTCTTCATCATATGCTACCTCCTGAAATGGTTGAACATTGACCAATTCTTTTTGGTATGGTGGCTCTGTGTATTCCTGCCATCTTCTCTTGATGTTTCCTGCATCATTCACTATTTTGCCCATGCAATCTTTCAGTATCACAACTCATGGCTTCAATTTTTTCTTAAGTTCTTTCAGCTTAAGAAATGCCAAGTGTGTTCTTTCCCTTTGATTTTCTAACTCCAGGTCTTTGAATATTTCATTATAATACTTTACTTTGTCTCCTCAAGCCCCTTGAAATCTTCTGTCCAGTTCTTTTACTTCATCATTTCTTCCATTTTCTTTAGCAACTCTCTTTAAGAGCAAGTTTCAGAGTCTCTCCTGACATCCATTTTGTTGTCTCTTTCATTCCTATCTTTTTAGAGACCTTTTGTTTTCTTCATGTATGGTGTCCTTGATGTCATCCACAACTTGTTTGGTCTTTGGTCACTGGTATTCAGTGCATCAAATCTATTCTTCAGCAGGTCTCTAAATTCAGGTGGGATATACTCAATGTCATGTTTTGGCTCTCTTGGACCTGTTTTAGTTTTTTTCAGCTTCAACCTCAACTTGCTTATGAACAACTGATTGCCCATTTGGCCCCTGCCTTTTCTAACTGATGATATTGAGCTTCTCCATAGTCTGTTTCCACAGATGTAGTTGGTTTGATTCCCGTGTATTCAATCTGGCAAAGTCCACATGTATAGTTGCTGTTTATGTTGTTGGGAAAAGTATTTCCAGTGAATAAGTCATTGGTCATGCAAATTTCTGTCATGCGATCTCTGGCATCATTTCTATCACCAAGGCCATATTTTCCAACCACTGATGCTTCTTCTTTGTTTTCAACTTTTGTATTCCAAACACCAGAAGTTGTCAATACATATTGACTCCTTGTTTGGTCAATTTCAGACTTCAGAAGTTAGTGAAAATCTTCAGTTTCTTCATCTTTGACTCTAGTGGTTGGTGCCTAAATTTGAATAATAGTTGTATTAACTGGTGTTATTTGTAGGCATAAGT